CCCAGAATTCCTGCGCCCCCCCCGTGGAGTGGATCTTGGCTGTTGTTGGCGCCTGTTTCGAGCAGGTGGAGCCTCCCCCAGAATGGACCTGGACGCACTGCTGCAGACAGTCGCACTGAGCGGAGGTCTGGAGCTGGACCCCCTCCCCTCCCCCCCCTTCCGCCCACTGTCGAAACGCCGAGTCAGAACATGCTCACTGACCAATTCGACATACCCAATCATCAACGACATACCCAATCATTAACAATGCGACCCGATGGGTTCCCCCGATCGCCGAGGGCGGTGCGGTCGTGGCGTCTCGCGCTTGTATTTGGTCCCCCCCGCGGCCCCCCAAAAGCCGCGCACCAAAGGTCACTCTTACCCAGGGTCACTCTTGCGTGTAGTGTTACGTCGGGCATGTTCCTCTACCAGGAGGAATATTCAAGAACAGCAGGAAATAGTCTGGTGACGATTTTCCGTGTTTTTTTCGCATATGTTCGACCCCTTTGCATTACGTTTTTGAACTATTTTGGAGTATGTTTCGATCATGTCGTGTCTTCCTTTCAACGTTCGCCTGTGGGAGGACGTGCCCGACCCGTAAGTGCGGTGGGCGCGAGTGGGCGGCCGGCGGGGCGGCAGTGGGGCCCCAGACCTGTCGGACGCCGGGAGAAGCCGACGGCCGCATGGGGGGAGCCATGACCGGCCCGGGGATTTTTTGGATTGCGCATCTGATTCGCCTGGCGACGGTCAGAGAACAGCGGCGCTGCAACCAGCAGACTTACACGAGCTGCACGGGCACCAAGTAAACAAGTACAGCACAGTAACTCCTCCCCACCTCCCATAGTAGGATCTGCGCACTCGGGGGGGGGGGGCGGAGGGCGCGGCGGGAGGGCGCGGCGGCGTCGCGGGAGCGGCAGCGGGCCCCGCTCGGCGAGCAGCTCAGCGGCCCCAGGTTTCCGCCTCGGCAGGCCCGCAGAGAGGGGGGTGATGACTAGGGGGGGAGGTGGATACCACGGCGCGGGCCATGATATTTCCCCACACTTCATGGGGGGAGGGCGCGGCGGGAGGGCGCGGCGGCGTCGCGGGAGCGGCCGCGGGCGCCCCGCTCGGAGTAGCGCGGCGACCCCGGGCTTTTCCGCCCAGGCAGGCCCCGCCGCGGCAGGCCTCCGCAGAGGGGTGTGGGAAACCGCCTGGGCGTCGCAACACCGCAGGGCCGCCTTCACCGACGTTGGCGCGCAGGCTGTCCGCGTGATCCTCCTCCTCCTCCTCCTCCTCCTCCGCCTCCTCCTCCTCCTCCTCCTCCTCCTCCTCCTCCTCCTTCTCCTCCTCCTCCTCCTCCTCCCCCCTCTCCTCTTCCCTGTGCTCCTCCTCCTCCTCCTCATCCAGGTCGCGCGTGGGCTCATGGTGTTCCAGCCTGCCTCAGCCTCGACCACCGCACTAAGATCTCGAGCACCGAGGAAGAACCGACACTGCATGGCCCCGAAAGGAAAGCCTGCGCGCGTCGGGCCCTGGGAGGAGATGCTCGCTCGACACCTCGCCGGCGTCTCGCCAGCGTCCCGGGTGCTCGACATTATTGGAGAGGCCTTACGGCCGGTGCCGCCGGCCCCGAACGACGACGGCGACGATGACTTCGACGGCGACGATGATGACGACGACGAACCCCACCATTCCACGGAGGTGTGGTGTTCTGACCCCGGACCCCTCCAGGACCCCCCCCCTGGGACCCCTCCCCAGGACCTCCCCTGGGACCCCCTCCGACCCCGCCCCCCGCCTGGGGCAGGGAAGAGATCCAAGGGAATGGGTTTCCTTCGATGTATTCTCGACGTCCGTCGTTGCCGTTTCGGCTGGAACGTCGGAGGAGAAGGACTCAGGGAAAAGACGGGGAGTGAAGACGGCGACGGCGACGGCGACGGCGTCGGCGACGGCGACGAGGATGAGGACGAGGACGAGGACGAGGACGAGGACGAGGACGAGGACGACGACGACGACGACGACGACGACGACGACGACGACGACGACGACGACGACGACGACGACGACGACGACGACGACGACGACGACGACGACGACGACGACGACGACGACGACGACGACGACGACGACGACGACGACGACGACGACGACGACGACGACCCGGGATTCCCTGGGGACACACCACTGGGCCCCCACGGGACCCCCCTCTGGAACTCCCCTCCCAGGGCGGGGAAGGGATCAAAGGGAAAGGGCGTCCTCTCGATGTAATCTCAACGTTCGTCTTTCCCGTTTCGGCTGGAACGTTGGAGTAACAGGACTCAGGGAAAAGACGGGGAGTGACGACGGCGTCGAGGACGAGGACGAGGACGAGGACGAGCACGACGACGACGACGCGTCCTCCACACGCCGACAGTGTCGGCGGATTTTTGGGATGTGGTCCTTACATCGGACTGGAACGACATGAGCGTAGACGCTCTCCTCTTCGCGCGGTGTGCCGCGCTGGCGGCCTGCGTACGCCGCCGCCTAATGTCGCTGTGCCATCTCGCGTAAGACCCGTTTCTTTTCGTTGCCGTCCTGGCCCCCGCAGCACGCGGTGCGGGGGTGCTCCCAGCCGCCGTGAGGGGGAGGGACGCGGCAGGCTCGTGAGGCAGGCTCGTGGGTGAGGCTTGACCGCGCGTGGCTTGGAGCACCGTTGTTGGCAGAACGACGCCCACGCGGCTCGCTCGGGCCTCCCGCGACGCGGCATTGGTACCCTGCACCAGCTCGTCGCGAGAGTCTGCGTTGAGTTCGGCAGAGAGGGCGAGAAACGCAGGGAGGGCGTCGGGTTTGGGCGTGCTTGCTGGCGGGTCGGGCGGTATTCCAGGGTCAGCCAATAGCTCAGAGTCGGGGCGCTTGATGGCGAGAGCATGCCAGGCGTCGGCATCTGCGTCGGCCTGAGTGAAGCGCCCGTGGGCGTGGGGCTCACGACCGAGACGCAGGAGTGCAGCGAGACGCAGGAGTGCGGCGAAGCCGGCTGGCTCGCGGGCCTCGACGGTGGCGCGGGCTGTCATGGGGGGACGGCCCCCTCGCGGGAAGGTCAGGGCTTCAAATGCGGTGGCCCACGCCCGCCGAAGCGGGGAGTGGCGCCACAGCACGGGGCGGGCCCAGCGGCGCAGGGCGTCGGGGTCGTGATCCCCCGCATGCGAGGGCCGGGGGAGGGGGGCCTCGGCCTGGGCGGCAGAGAGCAGCCGGACGGGCCCATCGCTGGCCCTGGATGGAGCCCCAGAGGGCCCCGCAGGAGCGGACGGGGGCAGACCAAGGTCGAGCCCTGGCGCGGCGTCGCACTCAGGCCCCGAGGCAGCGTCGCGGGCTCCGTCGCCTGGGGCGGCGGGGCTGCGCGTGTCCGCGGCCTCCGCCAAGATCCCGGTGACGCCGCTGGGGGGTAGATTCCACCATGATGGGTCGATTTTCCACCACCACTTCCATAGGTAGGAGAGGGAGGAGCAACAGCAGCAGCAGCAGCAGCAGCAGCAGCAGCAGCAGCAGCAGCCGCAGCAGCAGTAGCAGGAGGAGGAGGTGGTGGAGAGGAGGACCTCGCCATCCTCCCTTCGCCCCACTCCTATATATGGTAGTGTTGGTGGAAAGTTGGGCCCATCACGCGAGATCCCACAGCAGCTGCTACACTGCCAAAGGGGGTGCCCTCTGGCGCTGCGACAGCGGGAGCTGGTGGGGCCGCGGTTGCTCCATCAGCGGGCCCCGAGGAGCGCGCCTGGCGTTGGCCTGCACCCAGCGCGGGGAGCAGTCGTAGGAGGCCGCGCCCCCTCTCCATCTCTCTCTCCCTCCTGCCCGCTGCCTCCCCAGACCTGCTCCTCTCTCTCCGCAGCCGCTGATCGCGGTCCCCAGAGGCCTCTGCGCTGCCGCGCGCCGGCGCGCGCGCGCGCGCGCCGGCGGCCCTGCGGGGGCCGACCCTTTCCAGAGGGGGAGGGTGCGGAGGGAGGCCAACTTGCTAACCATCCTGCGTCCTCAGGCCAGCGCCGGTGCCGAAGACCGCCCAGACCCGCCGGAACGGCAGGGTCTCGCTGGGCGCCGTGCGCGTGCGTGTGCCGCTGCGCGTTGCTGGGCGTTTCCGCCGCCGTGCCTTGGGCTGGCACCCTTTTGCCGACTTCGACACTCCATGTTGATGCCGTGTTATACATATGTATGCATGTATACATATAACGGCGCACCGGGTCCGGGGGCCCGGGGCCGGGACCTCGACCACAAATGTGCACCCCGGGGGGCCCGGAGGCTCG